GGCCGATGGCCTGGCCTTTGCCTGACCAGTCAGCGGCGTCTATCACTGACGCCTTTCTATTTGGGTATGTAATGGACAAAGGGGCGCCGGAGAGGCTCCTTACGGATCAAGGACGTAACTTTTCGTCCAAATTGTTGGGGGAGGTGTGTGCGGCTCTTGGAACTAAAAAGATACGGACGTCCCCCTACCACCCGCAAACGGATGGTATGGTGGAACGGTTGAATCGGACTCTGTCCGCCATGCTGTGCCATACAGTCGGGGAAAATCAATCTGATTGGGATTTGCATATCCCTGGGGTGCTTTCGGCGTATCGCATGACGCCGCACGCGGCTACTGGATACTCGCCGTTCTTCCTTATGTACGGCCGTGAGAATGTGCCGCCGATTAATGAACAGTTGGGAACCGGCGCGAGGGGGCCTGTTAAGCCTCTTCCTGAGTATATTAAGGACAACGTTCGGCGTGTCGCTGAGGCGAGGGAAAGTGCCCGCATGGCTACTGCCAAGGCTCAGGCCAGGAATGAGCGGTGTGCCCGACGATCAAAGGGGGAGTGCCCCTGGAAAAAGGGGGACCTGGCCTGGCTTCATTGCCCACAGGTGCGGCCAGGTACCTCTCCTAAATTACATAGACCTTGGCAGGGTCCGGTCCGCCTCATTGAGGTTCCCAACCCACAGTCGGCGCGTGTTCAGGTTGGTTCACGACGCTGGTTCGTGCATACATCCCGGTTGAAGCCATACATTGCCACGCGGCCGGATGCGTCATCTCCCGAAGTTGCCTTGCCGGGGTCTGTTGCTGCCGACTCGCCCTTGCCTGTGTCTGCTGACCTTGCGAGAGCGCCTGTCGTACCCTTCACAGACAAGCCGGCCGTGACAGCGCAGGGAGGAGGACGTTCCGCTCGTGGGACGTCGACTGGAGCCGCAGAACCCACGGGACCTGCAGCTCTTCCTATCCCTCCGCGGACGCGAGTACGGGATGTCTCTGGACGCGAGCGGGACAGTGGCGGGCCTCCAATGGCGACGGAAGAACTTGCGCCCGTCGCCCCTAAAACCCTTCCACGTTCCCGCTCGGCGGGTGGTCTGCCGACCGTCCGGGACGGCCCGGCTGCCCGTACTCGCTCGAAATCCCTCACGTTTCGTTGAAATTGTATTGTGTTGTGTTCTGGTTATATTGTTGTTGCATGCTTCGTGTCTTTTTACGTGTTGGCCCTTTACACCCGCATTTCTTGTCAGGTTGCAATTCAGCCGAGGTCGGCTGGATTTTCTTTATGGGGGAGGGTGATGTAATGCGGGCGTAAACGGCCCTCCGGAGGTGACGTCAGGAGGGGAGGAGTTAGGTCACGTGGGGGGGGTGAGGGGTTAGGCTATAGAAGGAGGGGAACCGGAAGAGGACGGGGAGTGACGGGGAACCAGGAACAGAGAGAGGCCACGAAGGGCGAAGCGGAGGGTGGCGAGATCGCCACGAACACGGGGGAGCGAGGATCGGCACCGTTGGCCAGCGGTGACCGACCCGAAGCAGCGAGGAGGCTGCAGTCAGCAGCGGGGCTGCACAGAGAGTCAGCAGCGGGGCTGCATACAGAGTCAGCAGCGGGTCTGCATACGGTAGCAGCCAGAGGGTCTGCACATAGGGGTAGCAGCGGGAGTCTGCATAGAGGTAGCAGCGAGTCTGCAAGGAGGAGGTTACAGTAGATGAAGCAGAGAGTCAGAGTGAAGAAGAAGCTATAATAGCAGTGAATAGCCGGGGGCTACAAATACAGAGTTATAACAGAGTGCCGTGTGGGTGAAGACGAGAACCCAATAAAAGACACGAAGACAGAAGGAAGTGTTCGAGTCCTTTTATTACACAGGGAATCATGGGTAACATATAAAACAGAACACATTCCTTCGCTTTGTATATGCTAATACGTTTTACCCTTTCTGGCAATAAAAAAACAGGTGTTACGATATTATGTCCGATTCCTTGAAAAAGGTTTCTGTTTGGTGTTTAACCATCTAAACACCTGTTTTATTGGCAGAAAGGGTAAAACGTATTCTTATATTCTGATACTGGCAAGGGAGGTCCCATGATCCTGCTCTTTGCATACTTTTTTAATTCCATCGGAAGGCATGCAGGCTGATGAGACTAAAATATGTATTTTTTTTACGTACAAAGAAATTGACTTTTGTCCTCATGTTATCGATTGTCCAGCGAGCGGGTATTCCTACGCATACCGTGACTACATCTTTGCTTCATCCAACAAACCCCACCATCAGAGCGGTGGATATTAACCGGCACGTGCCACCATGCCTGGTTTCAAGGGCATTATATATATGGGTACTGTCTATATACGGATAGCTGGCAGCTGTGGTAGTTCCAACATCTTCATCTACCGAGTGGTTTTTGGTGCGGGGAGGATGGCCTACACTTGGATCTGTGCGAGACACGGCAGATAATTTTTCATGGCCGTAACAATGCACCACAGACTGCTGTGAAGTTGGGGGTATTTGAGTGGGACAGGCCGACTGCTTGTTCGTTGTAATCTCTGCGTTGCACTAACTGCCACACAGGCAACGAGCAAAGGCAGCCAATATTAAATATAGTTAAAAAAATTTTTTTTTTACCAGCCTCATCATTTACTGCTGAGTCACTGAAACGTTATCCTACCTTATTATTATTACTACAGCTTGTATAAATAGTTGTTTAGAATCAGTAAATAGACGGTTTCAAGCGGTCTATTTATTTTGGCGCATTGTGTAGATATCACGCGTTCACTGTGCTTGAGGGGAGAACTCTCAGCTGCATCACGTGACACGCTCTAACACCAGGTAGCAGCTGCGACCCGGGACTTTGGCGGTAAGAGTTGGTGGGTCACACAGAGATCTGTGAAAATCCCTGGTGCTACATGACTGCTATTAGACAGCATCACGTGACACGCTCTAACACCAGGTAGCAGCTGCGACCCGGGACTTTGGCGGTAAGAGTTGGTGGGTCACACAGAGATCCGTGGAACTCCCTGCTGCTACATGACGGCTATTAGACAGCAATTGAGTTCACGAACCCATCTGTGCCGACGTGTTCAGTGTTATCTCTCGAATGGTTGAGTGTTCTCCAGCTTCCCCCCACATGCAAGGCACTCGTTTAAAATGAGAACCAGCCAAACATCCCAATGCAGGACCGTGCTTTGTTATTACCGTGCTTTGTTCACGCAATTACAGAAAACGTATGACCCCATTTTTTTCCATTTTTGTTTGAAGGTGATGGTTTAGCAGCAGCGATTGGATTCATGCTGTGTTTTTTTGTTTGTATGAGCACCATCACAGGGTTAATACACACTCAGGCCACAATCAACCAAATTATAGCTTCGGGCATGAGCCTTGTTGGAATGCTGCCAAGCACACCAATCATGTGACTTGTCACGGCTGATGTGGCCATAATAACAATGACGTTGATAAAAGCGGATTACCGTAGTTGGTCGTACATTATTTATGACGCAGAGTTGCTGTTGATGCTGGTCACAGTATGGACAGATGTCTTCATGTTGTAAAATAAAACACAACGGTGGCCATGATGATAATTTAATGGATAAACAATGCATCAATTCTTAAGCTCACGACGCATGCGTCGAATCGATGGTCTTTAACTCGCGTACAATTTACGTGACGAGGTTCACGTGACCACTCCAGCCACTAGAGGCCGCTACATCCACCACGATGTAAAACATTTTTTTTATCATAAACCCTAAATCTTGACGATTCATTGAATTGCAGGGTATATCATCACATCCCTAACAACTGGAGTTATGTGTTTGAGCTGCCCATGAAGGGTATCCACAGGGTCGAGCACCACAACTATTTTCAGGCAGGTCGAACTGTGGGAAGTTTGCTCAATTTCGGATGAATGTTTGCGTGTGTGAGAGAGACAATGATAGACGAACCCACGAATTAAAGGAGCCAGCAACGTACTTCCTGTACTGCTATTAGCCACCTCGCATTGATGATGATGGTGATAACCAGGAGTGTAATGATGATGCATCGATTAACATTGATTCCTAAGTGCAAGATGCGTGGATCGAGAATTGCGCGCGTGAGAATCCACCATTTCTCTCATCTGTGAACTGTCAAGATGATTTTTTTTCACGCGACACGTCCAGCCTCTTGACGCCGCAACGTTCGCCGTGGTTTGAAAATAAGAATCTGTTCCCGAATAAAATCGCGGCCCTCGATCGCGACAATTCATCACGCCGCCCGATAGAAGCTGAATCATTGGGAGCCTTAGTGATGACGACGGTGGACGTGGTGGCAGGAAGTGACTGCCACGGTCGCGATTATGATTTTGATGATGGCACCTAATTAACCCTTTCTCGTTTCTGAGACGTCTCCAAGTAGCAGAATGGGGGTCCCGTTCACCGCTGAATCCCGGAACGCGCGAGTGGCTTGCTCTAATTTTATTTAGAGAGGCGTATCGCAGCTATTTTTGAAGACATTGTACTCACTGCAGAGAACAGTAGCGACACGACCGCCACTCTATAATAGCTGGCGCCAAACTGTGCCACACACCTTCCCGCATGGCCTTGTGGGAGCCTCGGTAAGTCTTCTGAACTGAAGATGTCCCGACAAAGTAATTTTACTTTAGTTATTCTTCCAACGCCGTCCGATGAGGTACGTGTACGTCATCTGAATGGGTAAGGGTTAAGCATCTATGTCGGGAAGCGCATTCACTAGAGATGTGAGCTTTTACTAACAATACCTGATGATGATGGATTTCATCTCCAGCAAAACGTCGTACAATACGTTGCTCGCTTTTCAAAGTGACCGGTTCGCTGAAAAACAAAAATCAATCGGCACGGCTTCCCACATGATTTGTTGGGCTTTGGCTGGGTGTTGGGAGAGGATTATGGCTCCGATTGACATAATACCTACGCGATCTACCCCAAGAGAAATTAACTGCGAATCGTAATGCTGGTTGCGAAAAGCCTACGTGTGAAATTAGGTGGCGATGGTGGTGACTGCGCAAAGGATGTCACAAACCTTCTGCAAATAGAGGATCATCCCCTTGAGCACCGCGTGGAAAGATTTCCACCCTCGCTTGCCAAGCGGCGCTGGAACGGCACGCACACGCAACACAAACGTCAGGAGAGAGGCACGGCCTTCGTCGGTAGAAAAGCCCCGAAGAAAAACGTTCTCCCCTGCATCTCCTCCATTGGGCGATGCCCCAGCAGAAACTGGCAACAAAACATAAAGTGTTCCGGTGACAACGGAAATACGGCACAGCGTCGACTATCCGCCCTGACAAATGAACAACCCACACCCAGTGCAGTAACACAACCATATGCTATATATAATCACATCCAACTTTTCACATGTCTGCCTATATCTCAGTCGGATATGCGACATTGTACTGCAGCAACAACAATAATAATCAGCAAAACATTTTTTTCTTTCTGTGGATTTCCCACCTGATGACGATTGTTTGTGTTGCAATCGAAACGTCGCGATTTATTTTATTGTATACCTACGTGACTTTACCGAAAGAACCAAAGAGTAATAATCAGAGTGTCCGTCATTTATCCAGTAAAATCTCAGCGAGTAACAGGACTTTTTCAGGAGGTTCCTGTATTTGGATGCTTGGCCAATTGCCTTTGAATGTGCTCGATATCATCCGAACTCGAAGGCGAAGCAAGTTTTAGCCTGGTTGGCACCTGAATGATCATCCGGGCTTTCTAGAAATTGGAGGCATGGGACTACAAGGAGGCAAGGAGATGGAGGAGTTAAACGACATCCCCTCATGTGTATGGAGATTGTTTCCGGGCAATCCGATTTCCTCCCACATTGAGCCAATCATTAAAAGCATTTGGGCAAATATACCCAACCTCAGAAGGGCCCTCTTGAAATATAATCTGGAGACTCAGTGAGTCTCAGGGGTAAATAACTTGACTATTATATACTGAAAAGAGAATAACAATTCACGATGTTTCGCATGCGGGAGGAATCACGGGAGAAAACCCATGATTTTGAGGTAGCACTCAAGGCTCCACACGGATAGATTAAAACAGCCATCACTGCACTCCCTTCTGCTGAGACACTTAAGAGGCAAAGCCTACGCTAAGCCGAAATATTCCTTGGCCGTATCCCTCCAAGTCCTAACCAGACTCCAACCTGCTTTGACTTCTGAGATCCTACAAAAGTGGGTATACTCCGACGGTGCGGCCGATGGCAGGACGATACAGAGATGACCAACATGGAGTCCACTGGCACTCGGAAATTTCAACCGCAAGCGATGACCGTCAAAAATTATCACGGTGTTTCTTGTCACTTAGGAACACCGGCCTAAGGAAACATTATTGGGATAGCTGTACATATTACGCTAACAACAAGGGGAGAAGGGGGGGGGAAAGGGCTTTAGCCGACAATATTTTAAGTTCGGCGGAAATGCCATTGCTGCGCAAAGCCAGACTCAAAAGCAACTCGACTACAGAAAACAAGGTCAATTGCAGCATTGGCAGCAAGATGGAATGGCCTATGGCAGAGCCACCCCGACTCGGTGCTTGGGGCAGCCCACGTTGCCTGTCATAAATAACAGTGGGGAGAGCACATGGTTATAATTCATCCTGGCTAGCTGAGTGTAAATGGGGCAATTCTGGCTAATATTGATCAACCAACGTTAGCTAATCTGTAGATAGGGTACTCTATTACCCTAAACTTTAGAGATGTGACAGTTGCGATAATTAATCGGCCGCATCTGCTCCCAGACTTATATATTATTTTTCCATCTCTCCACGCTCAATGAAACCGCTGATGGAGCTTGAAAGAGATAGAGAAACATTGAAAGGCAATAATAACTGGAAAAATCCGGCTGGCTGCGTACGGTGCGAAAGAAGCTCACAACGTAGTATAATACATGTATGTAAATGATAGCTACCATTTCCTGACGGTGAAATTGGCAAAGGCATCAACTCCACCGCATAATCAGAGCCATTGCAGAGGGTCATTAGGCATGGAAATCGAATAGACAAACAGACTCTCCAAGCGGTCGGGTGCACGCAAGATAATAGTTTCTCGTAGTTAAAATCTGAACAACAAAAGCAATCCAATTTGCTTCAAAGTGCTTTGCCGTGATACAGAATGGCTGCTGAAACTACATCAAGTTCCGCTGCTGCTGCTGCTTCACCTGGCTAAACAGCACAGGCACCGAGGCTTAACGTGGTTGGGGGTCCCTGTAAATTGGAGAAGAGATGCATCGTAAAGTGCGCTCGTTGCTTCCCGGTGATACATTTCCAAGCGAGGCAGCGAGAGGCAAAAGGGCACCAAGCAAAAGCTTAGGGTCCACCCGCCACCAATCAGCTGAAGGCACCAAACCCTGCCAAATTCGTGAGAAAAAATAATTGTGGGGCATGTAAAAAAATGTCAGATCACAGATCAAATCTCAATTAACAAGCCAAAATAATCTCACTCCTCTCCATCTGGCCTGCATCTCTTATCCTCTCGTCTTGCTGAGGTTTATATCTACACTTCTCTCATCTCACTGCATCAATATCTCAACGGCGTACTCTTCTGAAATCTCGCAGGGATTTAATGCTCTGAAAAGGTGAGAATCCACAAGGAGGTGGACGATGTAAATATTTTTTAAAAATAGAAAAACACTGGGAAAAAAAAGAACCTGCGCCCTGCAGCTAAGCGGACGCGAGCGAACGGCAGCCGCGATTGCTCGCCCAGCTGCCGCGCAACGGAAAGCAGAAGTGTTTGTGACTCGCAGCTTTCCCCAGAGGTTCTGTTTTCACGGCTCTACCTCCCGGTGCGCACGCACGGTCCCGTCATTTTGTCTCATTAGTGGCTTTGCATTGTTGGGACTCCCCTCCAGTCTCTCCCTCTGGAGCAATCGCCGCCGACTTCTGGAGGTGTCACATTTAGAAGCAGTCTCCTCCCGCGATCGCCATCGCTCCACTACGATCGCCATCGCTCCGCTACCATCGCCATCGCTCTACCATCGCCATCGCTCCACTACCATCGCTCCGCTATGATCGCCATCGCTCCACTACCATCGCTCCGCTACCATCGCCATCGCTCCGCTACGATCGCCATCGCTCCACTACCATCGCTCCGCTATAATCGCCATCGCTCCACTACCATTGCTCCGCTACGATCGCCATCGCTCCGCTACCATCGCTCCGCTATAATCGCCATCGCTCCACTACCATTGCTCCGCTACGATCGCCATCGCTCCGCTACCATCGCTCCGCTACCATCGCTCCACTACGATCGCCATCGCTCCGCTACCATCGCCCCGCTACCATCGCTCCACTACCATTGCCATCGCTCCACTACCATTGCCATCGCTCCACTACCATTGCCATCGCTCCACTACCATTGCCATCGCTCCACTACCATTGCCATCGCTCCACTACCATCGCTCCACTACCATCGCCATCTCTCCACTACCATCGCCATCTCTCCACCACCATCGCCTTCTCTCGAGTAAGCTGCGAAGAGCGCCTCTACGCTCTTCGCAGCTTACTCGGTGGGGGGAGCGCGGGAGAGGAAAAGTGGCACTCTGGCACAAAACAGAATTTTAAAAAATGTTGACGGGAAAACATCGCGCTTCGCGACAAAATTGCCAGGGCCGCACCGAAGCGGCGCACGGGTAATCTCGCCAAGCGTGTTTCACGGTCATATCTGCAAATTAAATATTGAAGAATTGTAACTGGCGATGACAATCACAACTGCAAAATGGCCCGTACGATGATTGTGCTTTTTACATCGTACCGGATATCGGCATAGTGGATCGCAGTCGGAAGGTTGCAAGTTTCAAATCCAAGTTGTGGGTTCACTCAGCCCCATCATTCCTCCGGCGTCGATAAAATCCATACCAATGTGTGAGGAAGACAACAATGATTGTCCATAGGAATGCAGAGTTTTCACCACTGCCTCAGGGCTGTAAACAGGAGATGAACACGCCACTGCAATTCTCATACGAGCAGGCAATCAGTTGGTCACGTTTACATTCACTTGCGGTATCCCGCTACCGCGGCAACCCTCGTGAGTGTATCTGTGCATGTGTGCGCATGTGTGTGCGCGTGTGTGTCTATGCAAACATGATCGTAAATGGTGAGGGGTGGTAGTGTAGCGGTTTGTGCTACGAACCCGGCGACCCGAGTTCGATTCCCGCTCACGATGAACACCAGTGACGATTATCTGAACCGGTCCTGGGCCTCCCCTAGGTCGACTCAGCCTTAAACGAGTACCTGGTGCGGTGTGTAAACATCGCCACTGGGGTGCGCCTTGCCGGCTTTCATCGGTGCAGCTCGTGAACGGCACTCGCTCCGACGGTCTCTTACGGGCTACGCGGGGGGGGGGGGGGGGGGGGGGGGGTCTGTGTCGTTTTTATTTTAAATGCTATCGTGTGAGGGGCTCACTCCTGCGGCCGTCCGCGTCAGCGTGGATCTTGCGCACGAGGACGCCCTGCTTGTACGTCGCCGCGTTGGGGTCGTGGATGATCGGCAGGAAGGGGTTGCTGCCCGTGATCGCCTTGCTCGGAAGGTTCTTGCTGTCCGGAAGCTCCGGGACAGACTTCCGCAGCTCATCTTGGTCTCTGTGGGGCAGAGGTGCGTGGCGGTCGGTGGTGTGGTAGGGGAGTTGGTGGTGGCGGCGGTGGTAGTGGAGATGGACGTTTCAGTCATAATGGTGGTGGTGATAATGGTGCAGGCAGTGATGGTTGTGATGACATTGAGAGGCGACAGTGGGAAGTGACGGTGGTGGTGATGGTGGTGGTGGTGAGGTAATGATGATGGCGATGATGATGGCGGGTGTCGGTAAAGTTGAGATCACATGGGGGGGGGATGGTGTGTGGTGTTGTGGACGGTTGTGGCGACAATGGGAGATGGTCATGAGTGATCGTAGGTTGATAAAGAAAGGTAGAGGATATGGACAGGACAAACTATTAAAATACTGTACAGTTACCAAATTTTTGTTGCAATTTCTTAAAATATAGCTACTGTGGCTTGGTGGACCACTGAAATGTAACAAATTTGGAATTCACGCCATTGTTTTTTTTCACTCAATGCTATCACGAAGGTGCTATGTTTCACAGACACAGTCTGTAGTAGTTTGACAGTAGTCCGTCATGCTGCTGTGTGTAATACACAAACTCTGCAACAAGGTGAACGCGCTGTCGCTGGGGCGCGTCAACACCTCTAAGGACCTTGAGCTGGCGGCCTATGGAATTTTTCACCAGATTAATATTAGTCCCACAGTACAGACACTTGAACTCAATAAAATGACAACTTAAAACGAATGTCAACTCGCACATATTCACATTTTTTCCGCTCACGTTAAACGATGTTACGCAGAAAAACGTCGTAAGCTATTGCGAGGAAAACATTTGCTTCGACCGCTGTGTACCCACTGGGACATTCTGGCAAGATGACTCAGCAGCGAGCAGAGCGAACGGCTCGCAATTGGTAGGTCGTGAGTTCAAATCCTGATTGGAGATTGAACAGCCCATGGTCGCTCCGGGATCGATGAGATGAGCACCGCTTTGTGTGGGGAAGATCAACAGCGGTTGTCGTTGGGATAGACTCACCCCCGCCATAGGAATGTGGAATTTTCACCACTTGCTCAGGGCTGCAAACAGGAGATGAGCACAGCCTCCATGATCGTTTGAGAGGGAAACCGCTGACATGTTTGAGTAAGCGGTCGCAGGCCTTGCCAGGCTTCCATTTGCGTGAGCATCACCACTACATGGGAGGCAATCTTATTGCTTCACTGATGATAATGTACATTTAAGTGTTTAGCACGAGACATTATGACTTTAGGATGAGCCTGCCACATGACTGAATACTGACCAACCTTTGGGCACAATCTTTTTTCGTCAGCCAGAATTCAAAGAATTATATTCTGAGGTGTGTCGTTATGAGTACAGAATTGTCAATTTTTGTGGAAAATGTTCAGCTTTAATAATATCATTATAATCTGCATCAACCACTCAGTCGCAATTGTTTACACATGTTAAAAGGGGTCATCAAAACTTAATAAATTTAAGGTAGGAGAGGCTTACGGCACAGAGGCCATCACTTTCAAAAATGGCCCTGGGGACACTGCAAAGGAACGTGAAGCCCTATCAAATGAGAGCACACAGGTAGTGTCTCCTGACTGCCCTCTCATTGCAAGCGGCAGATTCAGCCCGACGGTGCCGAGAGCTCGCTCGGGACAAAAATGTCTCGCGCCTTGTCACGCACAACAGCATCCGAAATAAACGTGACGGGCTCTGTGCACAACTAAGCTGATGGTTGCAATCGACGTGTGAGTGCCGATGATGTATACAATTCCGTTTCAATGAATGTAGAATATTGGAGAGTGACGGAGAGGAGAGGATGGGAGAGAATAACTTGGACAAAGACGAGCCTCCCCCACACTGCGCGGGTTCGACGAAAAACGCCGCATCTTCGATCGGACCCCCGTCCCAAGATGCAGATGTCAAGGACGCTGCTCTGCTTGCCACAAAGATTTATTGCAAAGCCGTGATAAATGAACCGCAAGCATGTTCCACCGCGACCCAGAGTCGAGAGCGAAAAAAAAACTACCTTTAGAACCGTCCGTACGTTCAAATGCACCGTGGTTTTGGTTGAAAATAAACAGAAAAACAACAACAATCTCACCCTCCACAAACATCTCCCCTCAATCTCAGGTACAAAAAGTAATTTCGGAGTGAGAAAATTGCTTTGGCGCACAAAAAAAGCTGCTTTCCATATAACCTCTCTTTTATTCCGCACCAGAGCACGTATATATATAAATAAATCGGCCGGCAATAGTCGGAGGAGAGGGCGGGGGGGGGGGGGGAATAACGCAAGGTTAGGAAAGCAGCTTGCCAATAATGTTCAGCTTGGTTGGTGTGAGTGCTGAGTAATGGCAGGCAATCTCTGGCCAAGGTCACGGTGAATGGGATGGCTACATCAAAGGCCATAGGACACCTGCCACCTCTCCCCATCGGCAATGCCTCACGGGGAAAATTGCCCCTAACAGAAACCGCGGGAGAGCGTCACAGCTTACCCAGAGAGAGGATATGGAAAGCACAAATGGGAATACGCGGTTACAGGACAGGGTCAGAGGTTATTGGACACCGTGATGTGGTCTGCAACTGTTTGGAGATGAGGAATGTTGTGTTGCATGTGTAGTAAGTATGTAGGAGGCTTGACGACAGGATCGGAGGCACACTTGTTTATTACACCAACTTGTGCATACACAGTAATTACGGGTCACTTGGCTACAGGGATATACAACAGCTAACCCCGCTAACCTATGCCCAAGTTCTCCACTACGGCGCTAGGGGAGGCTATCTATCCCAGCCCTGGTCAAGCTGGGATCCCGGCACCCTGAGTCTCCAGACCTGCTCGTCGGTCTGGGCTCTCGGGGCCACGCCACCGGCTTGCCCTGGTCGGCCCTTATAAGGACAGCGAGCCAGGGGAGCTCTGGGGCCTATTCTAGCAGGTCTTCCTTCTTCTCTGGTTAAAGCTGAGCTCCGACCTCGAGCCCTCCGGCTCACCACCTTTTATAGGGCTCGGCCCCCGGGAGGGGCCCGTGGGGGATGCAGGTGCGGACGTCGGTGCGAGCACCTCCCCTGTGTACGGCCGTAACCCCGCCCCTTGTGTTTGTTAGCCATCCGTGGCCATGCACAATTACACCTCAACATCCGTGGCCATGCACAATTACACCTCTACACATGCGCTGGTCTCATTGCTTGAGACCCAGGTTTGGTTACTGTTGTGTCAGGGTCTCGAGGTTGTGTAATGTGAATAGATGAAGGCCTATGTTGTGCACCTCAAGGTCTGTGTTGTGTGTGTGTGAGCGTCTCTCATCGTGCTATGTGAAAGTCTTAATGTTACGTAGGTATAAAAAATAAAATAAATTTTATCACGACGTTTCGGGCGCAACACAAGCGTCTGTCATCAGGTGGGACAACCACAGCAAGAAACAAATATTCTTAGGTTTTTTCGGTAAAGTCACGTAGGTAAAACATCAAAATTAATAAAAATTAAATAAAATAAAGATCACGACGTTTCGAAGGCAACACAAGTCGTGATCTTTATTTTATTTTATTTTTATTAATTTTGATGTTTTACCTACGTGACTTTACCGAAAAAACCTAAGAATATGAATCATTGCAGTCACGAAAGCTTCAAATCTAGAAGCAAGAAACAATTGCTGAAGTGGGCAAATTGTTTCTTGCTGCGGTTGTCCCACCTGATGACGGACTCTTGTGTTACGCCTGAAACATCGTGATTAAATTTAGTTAATTTTTTTCACCTACGTGACTTTACCGAAAGAAAGAGTATGGATCCCTGCAGTCACGGAAACTTCAAATCTAGATCGTTTTAATGTTGATTTTTGTGTCAAGTCTCTCAAGATTTATGTTGTATACAAGCATGAAAATCTGTGATGTCTTAAGGTTTCATATGTAAGTTTATCAGTGGTTGTGTCGTGTGCATAATTTTGCGCTTCTTAACATTCCTATTGTTGGCATTCCAAGGTTCACGTTTTGTATGTCTCAAAGTTCATTGTGTAATTTGATCAAGTATCCTGTTAGGAGCGTCCCGAAGTGCCAATTGTGTGTGTGTGTGTGGTGCGTATGTGTGTCTATCTCAAAGCTTTTGTGATGTAAGGCTATCAACATTCATGTTGTTCACGTTGTGTGTGTGTCTCGAGGCTCTGCAATGTTGCCCCGTGTGTTGTGGGGGCATCTCAAAGCTGTAGGAGGTAGCCCCGATTCCACACAAATGGTCTGGCCGAAGGATCGGCTTTTCTGTTCTGCACCCGCACGAAAAATTAATGTCTATGGGAGCGTTTAACGTTTAAGTCTATGGCAGCGTTTAACGTTGAAGTCTATGGAAACGTTTAACACTGGAGTCTATGGGAGCGTGTAACATTTAAGTGTATGGGAGCATTAACGTTGAAGTCTATGGGAGCGTTTAACATTGAAGTCTATGGGAGCGTGTAACATTTAAGTCTATTGGAGAGTGTAACATTGAAGACCATGGGAGTGTTTAACATTGAAGTCTATGGGAGCGTTTAACATTGAAGTCTATGGGAGCGTTTAACATTGAAGACTATGGGAGCGTTTAACATTGAAGTCTATGGGAACGTTTAACATTGAAGTTTATGGGAGCGTTTAACATTGAAGTGTATGGGAGATTTTAACATTGAAGTGTATTGGAGCATTTAACATTGAAGTCTATGGGAGCGTGTAACATTGAAGTGTATAGCAGCGTTTAACAACGAAGTCTATGGGAGCATTTAACATTGAAGCGTATGGGAACATTTAACATTGACGTGTATGGGAGCGTCTAACATTGAGGTGTATGAGAGAATGTAACATTGAAGTGTATGGAGGCGTCTAAGTCATCAAGACTCTGAACCCTTGCCGATTCCCTGACACGAGACTCCACGGGTGACCGAGCATTTAGTTCCTCCCCTCCACGACTGTGGAATTCTTTGTCCCAGGCCATCAGATACTCAGGCCACCGTTGGTATTTTTGAATCTCATCTTAAAACTATTTTTCATTCGCTGCCCTTTTTAAATTACTGACGTTCATTTTTTGGAGCTATTGTTTTTCGGGATCGTAGTTATTATCTTGTTTTGGAAAGAAGATGGCTTTGGGACATTTTCTGTAAAATAATAATTATTCCATCCGCTACACTAAATCTACTGCGACTGCTCGAACGATTTCATGCATTGAAATGCCCAGGGCCTACTATCAGTGAATCTACTCAAGTATATCGGGATCCTTTAAACAACCACGCTCCCCTGAAGACAAAGGGCGGCTGCAGGTTTGACCACTGGGCGACGCGCCCCTGCTTGTAGGATCTTCGCACACGGACGTCAACCACTCGAAGTAACCTCGGCGAGCACACACCTTCACGGCTGGTGGTGTCCTCACGCCAAGAGTGCATTGTGGATTCAAATACACGCGTCAAACGCGCGTGGGACGGGGTTTCGCACCTACGATTAGCACGGTTAGGCTATGTATGGTAACGAAAGAAAGGTCAACATACACACCTGCCATGGTATCCCCGGGACTGCCTCATCGTATGAGGAAGCTGGGAAATATGTTCATCTTCCTGAGAAATTAAGTCCTGGTTTTTGCCAGCCAGTTGCATAATACGACACCACTCAAGATGCGGCCCACCTTGCTCCACAGGTGGAACGTGAGGAGCAGCCAAAATTGCGATCGTCTGACTTGCCACCACGCAAGTCAGACGAAGCCCTTGAATGGATTGCTAACCTCGACATCAAACTATCACTGCATGGGTTTTTTATTTTGTTTAAACTTAGAAGAGGAAATCCTCAGGCTGGGGACAAAAACGCTGACAGTGTGATCCATAATACTTCTCAAAATTGGAGTCCTTTCAAAGTCATATGAATGTTTAAACAGTTTACAACGCGAATACGCAAGTGTATATTGGCAGTCAAAGGCTGTTGGCTGATAAGAGGCTCTGGGGAGAAAGAATGCTTCCCCACTTGAGCTTTCATCGTCAGTAAATGGAAATCAATTTTCCGCTTTCGGGTGTTTTTTCAGTATTTCTCAAAAGAAGCATGCGGTACTTACATCGCCCATTCCAGTTTTTCATTCTTGATGGAATTGTAAAGAGCCTGTGAACAACACGAGGAGAAGAAAAAACGCAATCAAAACAAACATCATCATCATCATCACCATCACATGCCCTGAAACGTGATTAAAACAAAGAGCTAATCTCCCAGGCCCAAGCGCTAAGGTTCAGCGCGAGTCTCCGAGCTCCGCTGTGGCCATTTATTACGTGGTTCTAACGCAGCGCATGAAATACCATGACCTTAAACATCAACATTAATCCAATTCCATGAAATAGGGGGAGCGGTGGGGGGTGGGGGGTGTGGAATGGATAAAAAAAGTCAAGAGTCCATTAATTCAAAGAAATGCCAGCAACTACGAGGCGAAGAAATAATAAATCTAAAGGAACGTTAATTGGAGGCTGCTGCCAGCCCCCCACAACGGAACAAAGGTGTGCAGATTTGTTCTGTTCAAGCGTAGCTATGACCACGCGGCAACAGAAATCCGCGGGAGCCGTAACTTACTCGTGAGAAAATTAGTTTAATTGCGGGCGGTAAAGTGGGCAAACTCAAGGGGAGTCATCCTCACGTAACCTCTCACCCTTCCGCGTTGTCTCTTGCTGTGTGTGTGTGTAAAGTGGTAGTGTAGCGGTGAGCGAACCCGGCAACCCGAGTTCGATTCCTGCTCATGGCCAATACCACTGACGATTATCTGAACTGGTCCTGGGCCTCCCCTAAGTCGACTCAGCGTCAAATGACTATCTGGTGCGACGTGTAAACATCGGCACTCGGGAAACAAAGCTTGGCGTGGTGCTGGCCACCCACCCCATCACGTGCCGTTCAGGCCTTTGTAGGTGCTCGCTAACAGCACCTGCCCCAACAGTCTAAGGCTATACGGGGGGATATTTGCTTTTGTAAAGGTGCAGCCCTGCAACCGCTTGCTCACACCACTGCTGGCCTGGGTGGTAGGGCCTCCACTCGTGGGGCGCTTTCAAGAACCCCTCGAGCAGGAATAGACTCTTATTATAATATGACTTTGAAACCCCCCGCCCACCTACTACGCATTCCACAAGTAGTGACTAATCCCATATCTGCATTTCCCATAAATATGCTAAATTCCTCTTGATATGCAAATTATTTTGTCAAGGCGCTCATCCTCCTCCAACCCAGCTTAAATATACGCTGCCAAGCCTGGTGGTGTTCATTCAGACGCTGTCTTTCCGACAGACCTGTTTTTCACCTGAGGACGGCTGCTTGCGTTGTGGCCGACACGTCGTGAGAATTATTTTATTATGTTTAATTTTTATTATTTTATTATTTCCCTTCTACGTGACTTTACCGAAAGAACCAAGAACATGAATCCCTGCAGTCACGAAAGCTTTAAATCAAAATATACCCCACCACACGCGGACCTGCCGATGGACTAACCGCAGTGTACCCATTAATCCTGCTGGGTGGACAGAGGCAGGGGGATTCAAGAAACTTGCAACATTGTTTCTATCTCTGTGCGGGCAAATTGAACTGGCGATCTCTGGATAAGCAAATCTAATGTGCGAGCCATGACACCACGGCAGCGTCCCATGTGTGTGTGTGTGTGTACTGACACAGTGGGGATAGCAGTTGGTACATCTGCCAGTCATCTCAGTCAGTCAAGCAATAGCACCTGGGTCTGTCCCGTGACCTCCTGTCAGCTAACCTTTGACACTTCACGTGGCCTCAAAGTGCACCCAGGCTGGCACAAAGTGCCATGGTGACGCCACTGCCACTTTGTGTAAAATGACGGTTGTTGTTTTCTGTGATATACTGACAAATGTGATGAGCTTCATTAGCATCATTATCCATAAGGAATGCCTTGTAGCAGTTTTGTGTAGTGAATGTCAATTTCTCCAAGCACAATATATTATTTTATAATTTGCAAGAAAGACAGAAAATAAAAAAGATGTATTTATCATTAACTGTGAGCCCACTGAGACCCAACGCAGACGATCCCTGCTTTTGATCTTCCGCGAAGCTGCTCATTGTCCACCCTGAACCGCATCCACTGCTCAAACCACGGCAGATGCGGATACCTGATGCACAAATGGAAAATTAAAAACTTTCCAGTGGGCGACTGTGGTAAGCCAGAACAGACCGTATAACGACGCAATGCCCCGATCTGCAAATACGAAGGAGACACCACGGCGATGATGATACACAACCACTCCACTGCTCCTGACGCCGTTGTCTGGACCTGACCACCTGAATGTGAAATTGCAGTTGTTGCTCTGCATCTACACCAGCCATATGAAAGAAGATTATCTTTTCTGAGCAGAAATTAATAGAACCACGCAGTTAAGAAATGCAAGTGTGAATCAAAAGATACGCCAAAAAAATTCAACAAAAATGGCACTGCATAAGTAATTTTTAAAAATAAATATTTCAAGCGTAATAAATCATTATGTGCTGTGGAGCATGATGGGTAATTAAATAAATGTATTCAAAAAAACCCTACGTTCAAGCCTGGGTATATATATATACACAGCTAATTATAACTCGTAGCTATTACAGGCAATTATCTTATTTCCTCAGGAAGGAGGGAACTCGCTCGGTCAGAGCGTTGAGCGGGAATCAAAACAGGAAAAGTGCTGCAGAGGACGCCCATCGCGGAGACGGAGCAATGACGTCAGCTGGTGTGCAGGTTGCGAGATGGAACGTTGCATCGCACAACTATGAGAGATGGCAACGGCTTGGGAAGACCTCTCATCCAGTAGTGGATCGATAATAGCCCATCGTGATAATGAACACACAATTGTTTAGTTCTTTTGTTTGGTCGCCAGCATCATTCCCAGGCAGTCTTTGTTTATCTCCCCAGTGCTTAATTTACACACTGCACCAGGCACTCATTTATGGCTGAGTCGACCAAGGGGAGACTCACAAACGGTTCAAACAATCGCCACTGTGATACACACACCAAACACGCACACAAAGGCTTATGATAACTTAATAAAATAGAACAACAACAAGGCCAGTTAAGCAAACGTTGACACCGTTTGCATTATAAGATTTCGGCTAATCTGGTTTTCCCAGGGCCACAGCTTTCTCAAGACAACAGAACACACAATGCCACGTTAAAACGCCGCATATGTACGTGTTCCGATGGACGCGCCGTTCGCACGCCGCTTGTGAAACGCGACGGCTTAAGCGAGGCACCTCGGACTGGCAACGCAAACATTTGGACACCTACACCCAGGCGAAGTTAGATTCCCGTGTCCAGCAGGTGGGGAGAGAGAAAGAGGATTGCGCCGCTGCCTTCCCCGTAACAGATCCAAACACGAGGCTTCTCACCGATGGCTAACCATCGAACAAAGACGGTCACTGCATCGCGCGGCGCTTTCAGATGCGCTTCTGCGGCCGTCTGGAACGCGCTTCCTACCGATATCACGAAGCCACCGGAGCTATGCACTTTTAAATCATCTAGATTGGCAAACTAATTTCTTTAGAACAGTTTTTTTACGTTTAGTTTGTTGTTCTTCCTCTGCACCTCCAATTAGTATGGTTGGCTACATACGGCACAAAAGAAGTTCAACATAATGCATACGTACACAAAGCCAACAATAACACTGCCTTAACGACGATAAATAATTATAATAATTCTGCTGCACAATATTCACGCTCCCTCTGAAAGAGAGCACGACTCAAGAGGCGCCGGGAGGAGGAACCACAGACAAGTAGGATGGCAGCAGCAGTCACGTTCCCTAAGCTCTGCTGCCCTCTAAATATGAAGGTGCTACCACCGGTCAATTATTGAGCGTCAGAGGTCGCAATCGGGTACCCGTTTGCGACCCTGGTGCGGCCGGGTACGGGTAAGGAATCAAAACCCGTTTGCGACCTCTGTTGAGCGTTTACATGTGGAAGGAAAGCGGAGCACCCGGGGTAAACCCACATGTGCGAGGGGGCAACAATCCCACGGAGATGGAACGGGTGGAGTTCACATTTGGCTGCAACTCCATTTTCCCCTAACTCAATTGTAACATTGCTCATTGGTTCAGTCTTGTACGCTTCACTATTTATTTGTTTAGATTTTTCAAAAACCGCAAGTAAAAAAAATTCAACGCACATGTCGTGAGCGTAACATACTTTTAAATCGATGCATCGTTATACGGGTAAAGGTGCAACCCTGAAATTTCCTGCTCAGGTCTCCGATCCCAAAAAGGCCTCCACGAAAGGGAGCCCTAGAGAGCCCCTCGGTACGGGATTCGGTCGACTCTTCCACGTTCGCCAGACCGCTTGGAAGAGGTGGGAGTGCACACACTTTACCCCACGACACGAGACCTGACGATCGACTGCGGTGGAACCATTTATACTGCCGGGTGGACAGGGGCGGAGAGAATCAAGAAACATGCCGAGCTGGGAGATCCAATCGGCGACCTCTGGATGTGCGACTTATGTGCTAACCATCACGACACCACTGAAGCATCCGCCTCCTTACATTATGACTGAAAACACCTCGCTCGGATATCGAGGCGCGTGACAAATGTCAGAACCCACAAGCGCACGCGATTGCCACACCTCCGCATTCAGCACTTGGAAACCAAAAGAAACAACAAAACGACGAAAAACGTCAAAAACAAAACCAAAACGCAACCCCCCCCCCCCCCCCCACAACGGCGCACGCCAATTTCCCGTCGCCTCCCCCCCCCCCGGTACCCGGGTACCTTGGCCTTGCCGTTGACCACAGAGGGCAACTTGGCGGCTTCGGAAGCGGTCGCCGAAGCGATGGCGGGGATGGGAGGCGGGCCGGAGCGCAGCGACTTTGAGCGCTGGGACGACCACTGCCGGTGCTTGGCCGAGTCCCCGCCGCCGCGGGGGTAGTGCACCGAGCCCACCGACCGCATGCGCGGCCGTGCCGAGCTCTGCATGCTGTTCACCCCGATCATCGTGGCGGCGAGCGAGCGAGCGAGCGGGCCCACCGACCGGGCCTGGGCAACCCCTGGGCGGTCTAAAAGGCGTCGACGCGAGTTCAGATGCGCCCCGGCGGTGGTGAGAACGGGCCCCGAGCGCCCGAGCTAAACGCTGCCGAATGTTTT